GCATTTGCTTGGATGTGTTCCTTGTTTCCTCAGCCTACACTGGGGGTTATTGATTTTTTTATCGCGATGCTATGTCCTTCTCTCACAGCAGCCAGGAGGAGGAACTTGGGCCTGCCGTTAATCCACCGTCTTCCAAGAAGTTCCCTTTTGTGCCAATCAAAACTCTTGCTCTTGACATCTCTTCATTTCCTTAAGTTCCTTTTCACATGTCACATGTCTCACTCGCAAGTTTAGCCTTGCATAAATTTTGGTATCAATTCTTTGTTCTAGATAAATCATTCAGTGTGATCCCAACAAAAATAACATATTTACTTCTTACAACAGCTAGTACAAGATTGTCTCATCTTCTTTATCTAGTGTTTTAAAGCTTTCCTGGTTAAAGTACCATCTTTCTTGAAGAATATCTGGAAAACAATCTTGGATACACTTTTCTATCAATGTTATTATAAACATTTCTGCATGTTATTACAGAGATGTGCGTAAACACAGTTTTAATGGCTGGATAATATTCCATGAAGAGGCAGCATCATTCCCCCCAAGTTAGGCATTTAATTTGTTGCGTTGGTGCATATTGCTTTGGTCTGTTAAGCATCCTTTCCTCCTTCTTCAGGTAAGTACATTCTCTCATCCTGCCTTCCCTTTGGAGAACTGTCCTTCCCTTCCCTCACATGTGGTTCTGGTGGTCACTCTCAGTATTTTGCCTCCTGCATCCCCCTGCCTCCAGCCCCGGTGACAGGTGGGCACATGTCTCAGGTCTGATTCATCCTAATTCCTGCCATAGTTTGGACCTAGTCCCAAGAGTGCTCTTACCACTCCAGTCCTTCCCAGGTTATAGCACTTGGAATGCGTTTGCTGCCAGTAACAGGAAACCTAACAATGGCTTAAACCCTAGGGAGATTTATCATTTTTCTTACTTAAGAAGTCTAGAGGTAGTAATTGTTATGGATTGATTTGTGTTCCCCCAAAAGATGTGTTCCCCAAAAAATGTCACCATTTATTGAAAACTTATTACATGTCCCGTCCTACACTTGGGGCTTTCAAGACATTATCTCATTCAGTCCTCTCAACAGCCCTGTGAAATAGTACTATTATCCTGATCATCTCCATTTCTAACAAAGAGAAAACTGAAGCTCTCAACCAATGATGAATTTTTGGACTGTTGAGTTAGAGGTGCTAGAGAATCTAGTGACAGCCATCTGCTTCTCAGTCTTTGGAAAAGGCCCAAATAGTTCTCCCTGTTGTAAATGCATCGAAGACTCATGCCAAACTTGCCTGGCTGCTGTGGGCATGGCCCAGGACTTTTGGCTTCTACATGTCCCACAGCATAGGATCCTAGTACGTGTTGAGAGTCAGTCATTCTCACAGCAGATTCCCTTTATAGGTCAGCATGAGGACCCAGCCTGCACCACCTGCCAGTCAATTTGTGTTTCTGAGGATCCCACAATTTATACTGGCATTTCTAATTGAGTCTGGAACTTTCCAGTCCTCTGAGACTGCGTAAGCCAATGCAGGTTGTGGTCAACATCTTTTTATATATGAAAGCACCAATTAGAAATATATTTTAAGGTGGAAAATGAGTCAAAGATGTTTATGCTTAACACTTGAAGAATGCTTACCAAGCTATGGACAGGCACAGTATTTATAGGAGATGTTAATTGGAGCCTCTCCAAAATGGGTTCCCTATTTTAATAAATAAATAAATACGTGAAATATTGCATAATAGAGGCTCTGTGAAGTATCGCTCTCAAGAAATCAATTTAAACAGCATTTTCCATGCTTGTTTGACCTTGTATGTATATTTCTCTTTCTCTCTCTCTCAATTACCTATTCCTATAGAACAGTCTATGTAGGACATCAGTTATGAAATCCTGAGTTAAGTACATTTTGAAAGCATCCCAGAGATGCTCACATGAAAGTGAGGAGCAGGATAATGGTGTGGAGCATTTTAGGAAGAGAGTTCTGACCACACATTGCAAAGTCTGGGGAAAGGCTCATTGGCAGAAGTTTGGGTCTTTAAGGATGCCAAAGAGGTGTGACCATATTCTTTTGATTACATAATTGTAAATAAAAATCATCTTGCATTGAGATATTTCTTGTAACTTCTAGTCAGGAATTTTAGCAACTCTAACAAGTTTTGAAAAGATAGCATTTATTCTTTAGAAAAGGAACTCCTAAACTAGGCACGCTGCCACCACCTGGTGCAGGGGTCTCACAGCCTGGGTTTTGAGGGGTGAGGCATAAACCAGAGGCTTGAGATGGACACAAGCACATCTTCTCCTTTAAAAGTGAAGCTATAAGTCTTAACACAGTCTGGTGAAAACTACTCAACTAGGCACTTAGACAAGCACAGTGCTGGCACCAGAAATAGAGGGAGGCAAAAACATGGTCTCTGCCCTAGAGAGGCTCATAGTTTACTGGGAAAGACAAGGACATGGCCAATGGGATGAATGAGGATAAAGAGTCCAAGAAGGAAGCCAACCACATACATGGAGGTGCAAGGGGGCTTCACTGAGGAGGTATTAATGAGCTGAGCCTTGAAGAACGAGTGAGATCTGCCCAACAGGAGATGAAGAAAGAACACGTTCAAAGGCACAGAGGCCTGAAAGGTGATGGCAAGCTCAGAGACCAACGATTAGCTCCGTGGGGCTGAGGCATAGAGTGGTAGGTGTACAGGGTGGGGGCAGATATTGAGAATGAGGCTGAAGGGGTAGGCTGAGGCAGGCTTAAAAAGCCTAGCAGAGGATCCAAATTGGCCGTGTGACCCTTGTTAATATGTCATCTGCCCTTTCCAGGCCTCACGCGTTTTGTTAAAAGCACCGTTTCTGGATTCTCACTTCCCTGTGTGATCTAGGGTGAATTACTCAACCTCTCTTTGCTTCAGTCTCTTCAACTATAAAATAATACCATCCTTAAAGCATTGTTGAAAGGATTAAATGTCATGATAAATATGTACTTGACACAACATGAACATATCCCAGTGTCTACGAGTATTGTTGTTATTGATGATATTATCCTCATCATCTTCATCATCTGGAAGGATACGCTAAGACAAAGTATGTGAAAGTGTTTGGCAAACTGAAAAGCCAAATATCATAGTTATTATTGCCATGTCCAATAATCTGCTCATTACCTGCGCGCCAGCATCTCTTCACCTGCCTACTGGGCCACCGCATGTCTCCACAGATGGTGCATTTGGAGGCTGTAAGGACACCGTTCATTGAGATCCAGGTGGACAGAGATGTTGAGCGTTAATTGGAGTGTTGGTCACACAGGTATATACTTACATCGAAGTCAATAAAACTGTTCACTTAAGATCTATGCATTTAAAAAGATTTTTTCTAAATCACCGCTTAGAGTCAAAAGCACTTCCAGCAGTTCAGACTTGTCTTGGGTTAAAGCAGTTTCTAGGCCTCTCGTGCCTCTGTCTCAGTCCTGGCAGTCATTTCACTACAGGATGGAAGGACCTCAAATGACCCTTCTCTCTCCATTTCTACCACTTCTCTATCTCTTCAGGTAAAGAAATGAGGCAGGAAAGTCCACTCTTTGCTTCCAGGTCAGATGTTTGGCTCGGTCTGTTCCTCAAAATCTCCCTTTTTGCACAGCTGGCTGGAGGTACTTAGCCTGGCGGACTTGCCTTAGGACAAGTTTTAAGTTCCCAAACTGCCCCAGGTTTCAGCATGCTTTTTTGAAAAGCCAGTTACTCTTATACAAAACACCTTAGAAAATCCAAGCGATTTATTTCTAACAGATTCTTAAAGTGCTCTGAAATCACCAATACTCACCAGCAGGGCACCATGTAAGACTCGGCCATCATTATCAATCAAGGTACCCGGTCTGCCATGAGCCGGGCCCTGAACAAAGCGAGAGGCAAAAATTAAGGACATTTTCTGGGCTAAGCCCCTGGTGGGCAGGGCCCTGTCTGGCTAAATTGCTTTGTGCCACACAGAAGAGAAGAAACGAGTGGTTTCTTATGTTAGTGATGGTTATGTGCTTGCCGTGAGCCCACGGATGTGAGCAAAGGCCAGAGCTGTCTGCGGTGTTTGACAGAAGATTTTCTTAGGGGGAACACAAGACCTAAATCCTCAAGCAGGTTGAAATCTCCTGGCAAAGGAATCAAAAAAAAAAAAAGACTAGAGTTGCCTCTGAGCTCCAAAGGCCTCACAGAACTGACATTGATTTGTTTATGATTCTTGAAAGACGTGCCGTCAACTACTAATAGTTCCAGAACAACTGGGGAACAAGTGTCTGTTTCAGAGGGGTGTGCATAAGCAACTTCCCACACCCAAAGCCCCAGCGGAAGCCCACCGTCCGTCTGCTCCCCTTCCCAAGCCTCTTTCATCCAAACTGCATTTTCTTGACGATGCTCCAGCGTGTTTGAAGAGAGATCAGCAAGCAGAACGGCTGTGTGGGTCTTCCTTTCTCCTTCTTTTCTTCTCTCCCTCTTCCCTTCTCCCTCCCTCCTTCTATTCCTCTCTCTCTCTCCTCTCCTCTCTCTCTAAACCTTTTACACTGCAGTTGAACAAGCCCCTGGATAAAGACTTTATCCAAAAACCCCCTCTTTAAAGTTATTTCAAATTTCTCTGCAAGGCTTTCAGAAATCTGTTTGTTTGAGGGCAGAATTAGATGTGACCGGCGTTTTATTGTGACATAAAACCATATTTCTTCCCTGGAAGATTAAAAAATAAAATCGGTTAATAAGAAAAGCTGTCAGCAACAGAAAATGGCTGACATAATCCGTTTATCCTCCAAGCAATAAAGATATTGGTCCTTGGGAGTCTATCCTCTCTCTCATGTTATTTCGCCCAAAACATTATCTTCCCAGCATTCTGATGGATTAAGAAGTCATATGGGAGATAGCAGGGAAATGACAGATACAAAAAAATATATAATATCCTTTCATTTCCCCTCCTCCCTCCACACTCACTCATATTCCCTCTCTCCTTCTCCCTCCTCCCACCCAAAACACACACACCCACACACACACACACACTTTATTTTCTCTCTTTTCCCTCTCCCTGACATCTTCCCATTTTTCTCACCCTTTGGAAAAGAAATAGATCTTCTTTTACCCACAATTCCAATACTCTGATAATCCTAATAGGGGTGATGATGCAAAATGGCACTGAAGTCAGTTTCTGCTCTGCGTGTATGTGTGTCTGCGTGTGTATGTGTGACTCGCACACATCTACATAGACACAGATCGCCAGATGAAGAGATAGACCCTTGATAAGGGTGTCGAACACCTAGAGAGAAAGAGAGTTAAGTGTATCTAGCCACACTCCTAGATTTTTAATCTAGGATTTCTGACAATAGCATAAATTTCAGGAACAAGGCAGAAGGCAGCACAAGCTAACGGATACAATAAAAGGAGCCTTTACAGAGGCTACAATTAAAACACTCTAAGTTTTAGGGGCTTGAGGAAACCATTAAAAAGAAAAAAAAGAAAGAGAGCATAGTGTGGCCAAACTCGTGTTCCTCTTTTCTCAATTAACGGTACCAATCTCCATCTTTTCTCATGTGCATGCAGATTGTTCTGGGGGACAGATTCTTGAGATCGCTCATCAGAACCCTCAGGATACTTTTAAACTGCTTTACGAAGAATACCTGGAAACCCTTCCTGGGGTCTGAAGGAGGGATAACAGGAATGCAAATAGACATTAAGCAATGTCTCTAAAATGTATTCTTCTCTTTAGAAGGTTACTCTCTTTTCTAACTCACCACTTCTCTCCGGTAGAAAACCATCACTTTGGTCAGTCATACGTATTTTTTTTCAAGCAGCTAAGTGTTTATTAGAGTCCTACTGTTGAAGCTTTAGTTGTGTTTCACGGGAATTTGACCAAATGAGTTTACTGCTGGCATGTGTGCTCTCTTAGGCAAGGAAGCTGTAGAAGGAATAATAAATACCAGGAGCAGACAGTGAGCCCAATAAATGGTTGTAAAATGGAGGATTTCTGGAAATGATTTTCAATGTATCCAGGCAAGTGGACATGTGCATATATGTACATATACACACATATTTCAACATCTAAAAATCACCTAAAGTATACTACTCAGAATTATTTTTTAAGTTTACCAGCCCTTCCTCACTTAAATTAGCAGAAATGGAAAATAATAAAGCTTACCATTTTTCTGTTAGCTAATCCTCAGGTGTGTCTGTGACTACGATATCCTCGCGTGGGTGCAGGGATGAAGATGGACCAGGCTAAGCAGAAGAGACAAGGTGACATGAGGGACAAGGAGGCTGTACCACTCTATAAATTACCTCTTTTTTTCCCCAAAGCATTTGAAAGTTTGCAAATGATATCATAGAAATTCTATCAGGGTTCCAAGGAGAAAATAATTTTGATTTCTCTAAATTCATATATTTCTATCAATTCACATCTTTCTACACAAGTGTCTCTTGGGATTATATCTTTATATACATTTTAAAAGACAGTTGCTATAGAAGCCTTTAATTGCATTGTACAAGATACACTCCCATAAAAAATAATGTTACGCACTCAAGACAAATGAACACATTACGCAAAACCTCTTTATTTAAATGGCTGTAAAACCAGATGTTGAGCAAATGTCTACAGCAATTAAAAACAAGGAGTAAATTCATAAACCACATTTACTGAAGCTAAATGTTTAATTGAAGAAAGGGTTGTTCCTCAATTAAAGGCCTTTAGTAAATAGAAGCTGCTTGAATGTTAAGTGTGTCTGAATTCTATAGCATGAAGCTGAGCTCCTCAAATATTTCCATGTGATAGTATTAATGATTAAAACAGAAACTCTGAATTAAATCAATTCCTAGTTTGACAATTGACCATGCCCAAAACACAATTCATTTATTACTTCATTATGTTATTGTCATTGTGTTAAACCAGGCCTCATAAATCATTCTAAGGCAAGGTTTAATATGACCATAAGCCACTTCTAGGAATTGACTAGGAATTAGCTTGGAGTTGATTACAATCCCTGGATTACACACTTTGCCTATAACATTTGTTTATTTTTGTTTCAAGAAACGTACATATTGAGCGCTCCCTGTGCACCAGGTGCTGTGCCAGGCACTGGGGATCTGCAGATAAACAGGAAAAGGTCACTGCCCTCTGGAACGCCACAGTCTGGCAGGAGAGGAAGACTAGAGATAGGCAGCGACACCTCGGTGAGGTGGGTGCTCTGACAGAGGAGGCGGAGGGCTGGGGGCATGGTGGTCATCCTGCAGAGACGGAAGCTCCAGCCCAGCCTAGGGGAGTGCCATGGAAGCCCCTTCTTCACATCCCACTGGTTTCCTCAGGTGCCCAGCACCACCTTGATTCCGGGAGACATATGCCAATGTCTCGTCCCGAGAATCCTTCCAGGACTTCTCTGCAGGGGAGTTTATGGGAGTTGCAGTCATGCACACACACTGTACCTCTATTGTGGGTTACCTGCCCATCACTTATCTAATCTAGTGACCCTGAAATAATCTCAAACTGTAAAATGAAATAGGTTAAACACAAAGATGGATATTTTCTCCAAAAGCACTTTAAAAATTGAAGGCTTGCCAGATTATTTTCATTACAAAAATTGTAAAAGTCAAGACATTTCTAGTATGCGTGTTGTCTCCATCACAGCACTGATAACACAGTATGGAAATTCTAAATGACATGTCTGTCTCCCCCACATCATGAGATCCTTGAGAACTGTGATGGTTCGTGGTGGGTGGTCTATAAATGTCTGGCAAATTGAATCAAATGGAAATATTTTTCAGTTAATGGAAAGTATGAGTCATCAATGTTGAAAATAATTCCATTTGTCAATAAGCAAGAGTTACTTTTTACCTAACAGTTGTCATAACAAGATTTCTCAGCAGTTGGTCTATATAACTCTTAACCTGGTCATGGAATGGGTTCTCTTTAACTAAGGTTTTCAGTTTTACAGATGATTGCTCAAAATGCTTTATTTGGGTTACCAATTTCTAAAAGAAATAGTAGAATACAATATAATTCACTTAACACTAAAGCTAAATAGACAGGGCTAAATCGATGATGACACAGGAGGGAGGTCACCACGAGAGCAAGCATCACTCGCTTAGAGAGGGTGCAAATGCCAATTAACAGCATTCTGTCATAGGTTATCAGTGAGTGGAATAAGAGGCTATTTTAAAATGAAACCCTAGAGTTGTTTAGGTCTACCTGTAGTCATCTGGGAGCTGGTTGGCGATTTCATTTCTCAGTGACTTTCCTGGTTGTGCGAATTTGATTGAGCAGGCCTAGTAGTGTAGGGTATGCATGTGTGTGTGTGTGATTTATAAAGAAATTACTGTGTCTGGAAACTCTTCTAAGCGTTCGTTTAGTCCTTGCAACAATGCTGTGAGCTGGTACTGTTATTATAGCCAATTTACAAATAAAGAAACTGTGACTTAGAGTTTGCTTGCCCAAGGTTATAAAACCAGGACTTCTCCAAGCCAGAGCTGGGATGTCTATCTGCCTGATTTCAATGTTCCTACCCTTAATTACTATTCCATACTACCTCCACTGAGCTGACTTACAAAAATATTAGGTAAACCATGCAGAATTTAATAACTTCTTTCTGATTGAATAAAACTTGAGAGGAAAAATGTGAATGCAGTCCTCAGAGTCATCTTACAGTGATCTGGCCTCAGGTTTTCCTCATTTGGACCATTCAGGATCTTTGCTGTCCACTTTCCTTGCTACCTTGCCAGTATTCTTTGTCACCCCTGAAGTGCCTAAGTCCAGGTCAGGCAAAGATCAGCCCTTACCTCCTAGTCAGTCAGTAGGGAATCTGCCATGTGTTTAGCTCTGTGCTAAGTGGTATAGGGAGTAAATGAGTGTTTAGGAAAAGTCTAAGTGAAGTGCAGTACCAGAAAAAACTCCAGAACGTGGATAGAAAGCTAAAATGAGGAAACATGGAAACTAGGCTCGTTTCCAAAATTGACGCCAGGCCTCTCCTCTCCTTCATTGTTCCCAGAAATGCACAGTGAAGAGCTGGAGAAGGTCTGTCTTCTGCAAGGAAAGCTCCAGGAAAGTTCCTTCCACATCTTTCACCTTCTAGCGAAACAGCTGAATAGCTCATATAGAAAGAGTGCTTTGTATATAGATTTAAGTAATTAAAGAGTAAGTTTTCGGCTTGGAAAAAGATGTGTAGGTAAAGTGGAAGTCGTCTCCTGATGAGAAAAATGAAAATTCTTCCCGCTGCTATGCACACGTGCATTAATGTCCCAAACAGAGAAATCTTTCTGATCGAGGGACCACTTGGAGCATAGAAAAGCTTCTTGCAAGAAAGTAGTTCCCTCATGTGCAAAGAAGGTGCAGGAAATGTAAATCCCCCAGATTAGTTTAAGAAGGCTAAAGATAAGGTTCCTGAAAACAGCAATTAGAGGCCAGCACATGGCAATTAACACTGACAGGGAAGAAAATTGTCAACCTAAGATGACGTTAGACAAGTTTTTGATACCTAATATGTATATGAGAGTAAGGAAGAGAAATTTTTTAAAGCAGAGCAAGAAAATCTAGGATTTGATGAATAAATGATGATATTTTCAGATGATAATGAGGAAAACCTGTTGCTTATATTTCTTTAAATCTTGTTCTAAATGGCATCTTCCTTAAATATGTGCATTTAAATCCTCAAATGGTGTGCAAACCAATAATCAGAAATAGCTAAATAGTTCACAAAATTTTTCTTTTACTTGCAACATGTATAATAGTTTAGTATCTATTTACAACATATAGACAATATCTTCTTTATAAGAAGAGCTCCTACAAACTAAAAAGAAAACATCTCTATAGTGATATAGGCTAACAATAAAAAACATAGGCATTCCACAAAAGAACAATCCACATGACTAAAAAGATATACGAGTAACAGAATGTTAAAATGGAATAAATAAAAAATCAGGTGCCAGGGATTCCCAGAGTCCAAAGCAATGCTGGATGTGCTGAGTGACTGTGGAACCCGTTCTGCCAGCTCTGATGATCACTCACCTCTGTGAGTGGAAAGGCCAGTTGAAAAGAGTTGTCAGTGTACTGTGCTTTCTTTCCCCCGCTCCTTTCTCCCACTTTTCCTCCTCATCTCCAATCATTTGGGAGGTCATTTAAGGGAATCTCCCAGAGAGTCTGACCTGTGGTCCCCTAAGTCTGCAGTAACATGGAGATTGGATTTTATCTGTCTGAGAAGACTAAGGGCAGAGAGCTGCTTACAGAGCCTACAGAATGAAGAGAGTTATATCAGGAGTTAGTTCCTTCCAGCAATGGTAGGGTGTACTGTGGGTTAAATAGGTCCAAGGAAAGGAGCAAGAGGATTTTTGTAAAAGACTTCATCCAAGTGGATTTCTTGCCAGGAGCTGGACAACTTGAGCAGAAGGAGGTTCTGGATGCAGAAGCAGGTAGGGTGCGTAAGAAGCCAGCCAATGAAGAAGCTCTGTCCGTGGGCCCAGCAGAGCATCTCTGAGGACACCAGGAAAGAATCAGCATCAGGTCATGTCTGGCTCTTCTGGAGTTGTAGCAAAACCAAGTTTGGGGCAAACTACTTTTTACTCATTCATAAAGTAAAAAACAACAAAAAACTGTACTTTTTACTAAAAACTTTACTTTTAACTAATTGACTAATTTGTAGGTGGGAAACCAGCCACGCTCTCCCTCTAATCATAGGCTTTCCAGCCTACAGCAATTCCAAAATGGGGGAGATGAAGTTTTAGAATGGAAAGGAGTGTAGAGTTATGCCTATGACACTGGACTGGATATTTTAATTTGTTCTTTGAAGCTGTTCTTGGAAAAGGAAGTGACGGAAGGACTACTTAAAAAGTTATGGAACCTGCTAGAGGAGTCCTCCAAGGTTCACAGGAGAATGAGTCTGCAGAGTGGTTTGAATGGACAATGGGAAAATGAATAAAATTACTTTTACTTATACCCTCTTGGGGTTAATTGCTCAATAAATTGGTGGCATAGATAAAAATTTTCAACTTTGGAAAAAAGAAAGGAAAGAAAGGAAGGAGAGAGGGATGGAAAGAGGAAGGAAAGAAAAGAGAAAGGAAGGGAGGAAGAGAGGGATAGATGGAGAGAAGGAAGGAGAAAAAAAGAAGTAAGGGAGGAAAAGAGTGGAAGAAGGAAAGGAGGGAGGGAGGAAGGAGGAAGAGGAAAATATATTTTAATAGAAACACCTGATATCCATTCTCGTGTACCAACCTGGCAAGGATATTTTCTAATGCCAATC